TTTGAGACAGGGTTTCTCTATGTAGCTTTGGAGCCTATGCTGGCACTCCCTCTGGAGACCAGGCTGGCCTCGAACTCAAAGAGATCCGCTTGCCTCTTCCTCCCAAGTGCTGGGATTAAAAGTGTGCGCCACCAATGCCTGGCTACTACATTCTCTTAAAGCATGAAAGTTTAAGATAATTTTCAATATTACTTATGAAAACATGCTATGCTTATCCAATGCTCCAGTTCTACCACTTCTACATTAGTTGATCTTCCTGAAAGGGGATTCTTAAGACAACAGAGATGCCCCTCAATATGGAAACCAGAATGTGTGGAAGCTCAGATCCCTGCTACCATTGCTGTGGGGCTGCACAGTATCTCCACACAGCCTCCCTTATAGTTTATCATCTCTAGACAAGTTTGTACTGGTGTTTATTAAAGCATATAATTTAGAGAATAACACAAAGGAAAGGTTGTACACATGCTCAGCCCCAGAAAAGGCAATTTTTCTATTTTTTTAATCCAAAACAGAAAATGTGTGGTCAACTTCACAGATGCAGAATCTGCAGGTATATTGGACCAACTGTACAGAACCAACCTAACACATTCTAAAAGTCACTACTTTTTGCATTTCTTTGCCTGGTTCATATGGAAGGCACAAGCATGTGACCCAGTGACTCTGGTGATTTTTGGTTTGAAGAATAAATGAGCCCCATTTTCCAGCCTGATGAACACAGTGGCTACAGGACAGGCAGGGCCACTGGTAGGTACTTCAGAGTACCAAATGTCACTGAAATCCCTGCCATGGCAGTCCAACCTCTAATTCTGATAAAGTGAATTTAGGAACCATCATCCCATGAAATCTGATCTCCTAAGGGGGCTAGCTTTCCAAGCAGTCTTTAAGAGAGATAAATTGTGGATATCTTCAGCCAGGGAAAGGATCTCACCCACTCCCTGTTGTCTTATTCTGGGCCTTTTCAAGGTACTGGCTTCTTCTTAATTTCTAGTCCCTGGAGACTCAGGTTTAACTGATCTCAGAGAGAATAAGAAGCAATATGTGTAGAACCTGACTCCTACCTGTTGACCTCCCTGTATGGTCCTAGTGGAAAGTGGGTGCTCTAGGGCTAAGGTGGAGATGGAGGGGCTGCCACACGGCCAGTGCTACAGCCTTCAGGAGCCCCTAAATCTTAAAATGTTTCCTCAGGGAATCCCAGTGATGGGTCCCAATGACAAGTGTCT